TGTTCTTCATCTATATAATCAGGTTAATGGTTTCTGTCTCAGATGGCAATAAAATCAAACCAAACTCTATGCCTTCCACTCAATTCTAAGTCATGGTGACATTTCATTGGGTTTCCAAGGCTGTAAATGTTTATGTGAGGAGACTGCCTCAACTTTTTTTTTTTTTTTAGACTGCCTCAACTTTTACCCACAGACTGGCTGATATATTCAAACTACCATTGTTGTTTGGTGCCAGCAAGTCAAGTGTGACCTTACGAACAAAAGATGTGAACCCTGTTTCATCCCACGCCATCCTCACACTTCCTGACACACAAGAGCCCAAACAAATTTGAAAATTGGATGATGACTAAGGATGACAAAAGAAGAATGAATGTCTTTGAGTTGAGGTGTTGGAGAAAAGTATTAAATATCACATGAACTGCCAAAAGAATGAACAAATATGTCTTGAAAAAAGTCCAGCCAGAGAACTGCATAGGGGTGGTGAAACTTCATCTCACATACTTCGGGCATGTTCTTAGGAGAGGCTAGCCCTTGCAAAAGGACATCATGCTTGGAAAGGTCAATAATCAGCAAAGGCAAGGAAGACCCTCAACAAGATGAATTGACACAGTGACTGTATCAGTAGGTTCAAGTATGTCAGAGATGATGAGGATAGCACAGGATAGGGCAAGGTTTGTATCTTTCATTAATCGGATCACTATGAGTAACAGTTTACTTGATGGTACATAATAGCTTTATGGTTAGCAGTCTACCATGTAGCCCATTATACAACCAGGACTTCTTCATGTGCCTATGTTGTTGTTAGGTCCCACTTAGTCGAGTATGACTCCTAGTGACTGTATGAAAAAAGGATCTGAACCCTGTTCTATCCTGTGCCATCCTAACACTTCCTGACACACAAGAGCCTATTGCAGCAGTAACTGTGTCAATCCACCTAGTTGACGGTCTTCCTCTCCTTCACCAACCCTCCACCCATCCCAGCATCATGTCCTTCTTCAAAGAATAACACTTTCTAGGAACACCCAAAGTATGTGAGACAAAGTCTCATCATTCTTGCTTCCAAAAAGCATTATAACTGTACCCTCTCCAAGACATATCTGTTTGTTCTTTTGACGATCCATAGAATGTTCAGTACTCTTCTGCAACATCACAGCTCAAAGGAATCAATTCTATTTCTGTCATCCTTATTCACTGTCCAGCTCTCAGATGCATAGCAAATGATCAGACTATGGCCTGAATCAGATGCACCTTACTCCTCAAATTGATATCATTACTCCTCAATAATTTGGAGAGGTCCCTAACTGCAGATTTTCCCAGTGCAATATGTATCCTTATTTCCTGACTGCTGGTACTAAGGGTGTTAATTGTGGATCCAAGCAAGATGAAGTTGTTGACAGTTGTAATCTATTCTCCATTCATCATTATGTTGCCTGTTGGTCCACTGATAAGAATCTTTGTTTTCTTGACATTGAGATGCGGCCTATACTGAAGGCTACATTCCTTGGTCTTCTGCAATAAGTGCTTCAAGTGCTCCTCATTTTCAGCAAGGAGATTGTGTCATCTGCATAATGCAGGTTATGGATGAGTCTCCCTCCAATCCTAATGCCGCTTTCCTCTTCATATGGTCCAACTTCGCAAATAATTTGCTCAGCGTATAGATGGACTGGGTATGGAGAGAGAATACAACCCTGATGTCCTCACTCCTCAATTTTAAAAACATATGGTGTTCCCCTGTTTTGTTCACACAGCAGCCTCCTGGTTCAGGCATAGGTTTTGCATGAGCACAATTAAGTGCTCTGGGGCTCCCATTCTTTTCAATGTCAGCCGCAACTTACGATCCTCACAGTCAAATGCCTTTGCATAGTCAATAAAGTACAAATAGACTTTCTTCTGATATGCTTTACTTTCATCCAGGATCCATCTGACATCAACAGTGATATCCCTGGTGCCATAGCCTCATCTAAATTCTGCTTAAATTTCTGGCAGTTCTCCTATCTGTGTTGTAGTTCTAGCAATTTTTGAGTGATCTTCAGCAGTATTTTGTTTGCATGTGATATTCATGATATTGTTTGATAGTTTGTACATTCTGTTGGATCACCTTTCAAACCTTTGGCCAGACACCTGCCCTCCAAATTTCCTGACATAGACTGCTGAGCACATCCAAGGCTGCATCTGTTAATTGAAACAAGTCAACTAATATTCCATCAATTCCTAGGGCTTTGTTTTTTGCCAACGCCTTCAGTGCATCTTCTGCTTCCTCCTTCATTACCGTTGGCTCCTGTTCAAATGGTCATACAAGTCTCTGGTTTGGAGCCTCCTGTGTGAAGCAGTTGGATTGTGGAGGGTAGTTTGATTTAATTGAAAGTCAGGTGTAAACTGGTCATTTTTTTATTTTGTTAACAAGCAAATGTAATTTGGTCATTTGGAATTAGTTAACAATTAGCTGTAGGCTAAAAGCCCTTTGTTTAAATCAATCAGGACCTGGTGGGCAGGCCCTTGTATTTAAAAGTCGGTTGGGTACTGTGCCTGCAGCCCTTGGGCCTGATGTTAACTGTGTTTGGGGAGAACATTGCTCTTAGTGGTACAGCACTTTTCTGTCAGTTTGTTCTACTGAGATAACTTGGGGTTGCTGTGATACCATGTGACTATACTGGAGAGTAAATAAATTAATATTTGGAAGCACTTGTTATGGATCATTGAATTGACTGTGACTCAGCACTATTATAAGTGATTGCAGAATAAAAATAAAATTAAACATGTTGTCAATGGAAATTGCTATTTCTTTTTTTAATTTTTTTTCCATTTTTATTGATTTGCCTACAAATTTGTGTACATTGTGTTTCATACTATTCTTCATTCACATTGTGTTTCATACAATCATTCTCATGCATTATGGGGTTTTTTTTGTTTAGTTTGTTTTTTAGGTTGGCAAAACTATTTCATTTCATTGCTTCTTTATCAGATTCGATATTATTAATAAAGGCAAATGAAAATTCCCCTTCATAACATGATGTACAACTTTCTATGATTATTTGGATTTGCTTTTTAATACTAACTTATTTACAAAAATTCAAATACATTGTTTTCAAAAACAGATTCTTCCAATTTTCCTCACCCCCTCATCAAATTGTACAACTCCGTAATTAATTTTCCCCCCCCCCTGCACATCCTCATCCCTCTGCTTCTACCCTCCCCCAACCCCCTTGGATCCTTATTCTACAATAATGGTTTTATACAATATTTGTCC